TGCAGCACCGTGTTTTGCAACACAGGATGGACCTCGTCAAAATCGACGGCAGACGTGGCTATAAGGAACGATGTCTAATAAACAGTTAATACTCAGGAGTAAATGATCACAAGACCAGGTCAAAACGCACAAAGACTTTGTAAGTAGTACGCTGGCCGAATCCCAAGGACTACGAAATTTACTGTGAATGCTTTTTTAAAACACTTCTTTCGGTCTTAATTCATAAAGTCAAAACCGTCTTCCACCGAGGTTCCGCGCTAGGAAACATAATAATTATGCGGTTCGTTTAGCTTATAAAAGAATATGTATTCGACCATTTACCTTTTATACGGGAATTGCAGTACTGGCTGCCTCTTAAAACGCTAGTGGATGAAAGCCGTAAGCATATGCTTTCTCAATTATCCCAGTTTTAGTCTGCTTTCTCACATAGAAAACGCGTTTTAGGGAAAATAAAAAAAGTCAAAGAGGAGCGTAGAGTTAATTGGTGGGTGCCACGTCATGCTAGGCCACGCCGCTGTCCGTTCAAATAACCAATTCAGTAAGGAGAGGGAAAGACAGGAGAGATAGAATGGTGATGTATTTCCTAACACCCAGTTAATTTCGAGAGATGTTGACTACCGATAAAGGAGAATATCCGAGCTCCAGGAAGCAGCTCAAAAGAAGAAGAAGCGATCACTGGAGCAAGAGGTTTATTGTCTTGAAGTTTAGGATTTCCTCGGAACTCCTTAATCATAAGTAAAAGTATAACAATCTGAGACAGTCTAATTGTCGCGCAATTTTCAAACCCGCATCCGACGCGGACAAGAAAGTTGTGGCAATTAATGAGCTATCACCGCACCAATTAAGACCTCAAGCGGTGGCTTAAGGAACTGACAATTATTTTACGCACGCGGGTGACTCCTACGAACTATAAATACAGTGTTATCTGTGCATGTATCACCCTTATCTGCGCATGTCTCAGACTGTTCTGCTATTACCTATGACTAAGGATTCCCGAGGGAATCCGAAACGTCAGGACAATAAACCTCTTGTTCTAGTGATCGCTTCGGAAATGTAGACTAGTGGAGGTGACTGTTCCTACTATCTCGTCTAATATGACCTTTACATGAATG